GTGATCTGCCTTGTGATTGGCTGCTGTGCTGAGATAGCCTCACTCTCTCTATAAATAGAGGGAGATCTGGCAGCAGAGAGATGAGAAGGACTGCTGGTCTCTTACAACTCTGCGCCATTTGTAGTGCTTATAATTTAACTGTTAATTTCTTATATATTTATCTGTATATGATTTAATAGTTCTTGTTATATATCTAATTATCTTCATAAATAAATATATTAAATTATCAGCAATTTGGTCTTATCTCTCTACAGAACCCTGTCTAACACAGGCACCAAACTAAGTGGACAGTTTTCCATACTATACCCTCTCAGTTTTAATCTTTCTCTAATAGTTCAAGTAAGTGTATGCTTAATGGTTATCACAAAGACTTATTTTGGCACTGGTGCCATAGAAATGGCTATGCAATGGGGTTGCTAACCACCAGGTCAACAGTTTGAAACCACCAGCCCATGGGCGGGAGAAAGAATTCGTTTTCTACTCCCAAACAGTTACAGTCTTGGAAACCCACCGGATCAATTCTACCCTGTTCTACAGGGTCATTATGAGTTCGAATCGACTCAAGGCAATGAGATTGATTTGGGGTTTGGTATCCTCCACTGAAAGCTCTTCTCTATACCGTAGGTTCCCAAACTTATTTGGTCTATTTCCCCCTTTTCAGAAGAAGACCCAAAAAAAAAGCTATTCAGTGCTCCCTTGGCAATTAACCATTTTGTTCGACAGCTGATAAAGCAGGATACATGCTTCTGCAGCCTCTCAGAGTGTTCCAGCACCCCCAGGAGTGGTGTTACCCACTGTGGGAAACATTTCTAGATTACTCCTCAGGAATGACACAGGGAAAGAATATTCTAATTTCTTCATGTAGATAATAGTTTGCATATGGTTTTATACATGAAAGTCAATTTTGCTAGATGTAAAATTAATGGGTCACATTTTCTCACCCCTGGGTATCCTAAATATATTGCTGTGTTTTTTTTCTGGCACAAAGTTTTTCTTTAATAAAATATTAATGCTAGTTCTGTTTTCTTCCCCTTTTAGAGAAATTTATCATGGTCCCTTTTTTTTTTTTTCATAGAAGCTAGAAATTTTTTCTTCATTTTTAAATAGTCATTTTACAAGAATACGTCTTGGTGTTATTTGCTCTGGTTACATGGTTCTACATAGCTGCAGGGAGAGACTATACTCTTTTTGCATCAGTAGTTCCAAATCCTCTTTTATTTAAGGAAAGTCTTCCTGAATTACAATTTTTCATATTTGTTCTGTTTCCTTGTTTTGGTTTTCTTCATAGATGCTTACCCGTAACTTGTATCTTCTTTGCCAATGGTCAATATTGGTCATGTTCTCTTAAATCTTTTTTTACTTTTTTTATCTTACTTTCTACTTCATGGTCCTTTCTCTTTATTCATTCTTGTGTTCCTTTTAGTTCAGACTTTATTTCTGAATTGATTTTTTCTTTTATTTATAATTCTAGAATTCCATCATCTTACTTCTGAGTTTTCTCATTTTGAGTTATATTGTTCTTCCATATGCTACTGGTTTCTTACTGCCATTTTGAACCTTTAAAAAGAAAGCTTTGATCTGTTCTATGGCATTATCATTGCAAGGTGCTTCTATAGTATGAACAATATTATTCTGCTTATTCATTTTTCCCCTTTAAAGAAAGTTTAAATAGAATTTTATCTCGGTACTTCTTTGGTGTTCATATTTATGTGCAATTCATATTCCTTACAAAACATTTAAAGTAATTTTTCAAACTCAGAAAACCTACATCTGTAGTTTTCAAGTAATATCCAAAAATATGCCCAACTGCTTTCTGAGATCTCCTACCTGAATCTTCCCTTTCCTTCTTCTCTATTGTCCCTGACTTGCTCAATTTCAGTTCTACTACCTGTTTAATTTTGTTTCCATTCAACATGCCTTGGGAAAAAACCCTGGTAGGTACATTTCTACAGTGCACTAGGACCAGACTGCTCTAGCCTCTACTATCTTTAGCATGGCCACACTGCACTTGCCTAATATTGGAGTGAGCAAACGCCCACCCGCCCATTTCAGCTGTTGCTCTTAAAATAGCCCACTACAGTGTCCAGTAAATAGTTGAAGCTATTTAGGAGTTCTTTGGTTCTTAAATCCTATGAGATACATTATTGACTCTTTGTGCTTATTCCTGCATAGATATTGATACTATAAAGGCATTATGGTTAAGTTGGTGGTTTTTCCCTTACCTCATTGTGCTCTGAGGTACAGGAGGTAAGATTCAATTTCATTCCCATGTTTTTGGATTTACTATCTAATTTTAATCAAATTTTGTATTAGAAATAAAACAAAACTATGACATGTTCATAGTCATTTTCCCAAAATACCCCCTTCAAACTTAACACTCAAACAAAACAACCAACTATGTTTTATATTCATCAGACATTTATTACATCTACACTTAATTTAATAGTTTCTAAGCCATGTTGTATGTAATGTCATTCTCTTGAAAGTGGGCAAAGAATGCTCTAATTCTATGGCTGCAAAAAATTAATTTTAATGCATTAGTAAACCATTACTGGTTTTCAGAAGACTTTTTAAGTGCTCAGGTCTTTACAGTTCAGTTTACATATCTTTACATTTCGAAAATTCCTTCAAACACCTAAGCCTCAGTGTTTCTGTTAGTCTTGGAATAAGAATAATCAATATAATCAAAATAATCATTCCACAAAAATACAAAGCGTCTTTTAAAATCTGAACACGCTGAGCTATTAGTCACACATTCAAGTCTTACAAATTGTTTCTTCCCTTCTTCCATTGTCCAAAGGGTCAGGAAATGGCACGTCACAGGCCAAATAAGACTGCCTCTTTACATGCATAAAGTTTTTGTAGAATATAGTCATGTACATACCCATATCTAGGGATAATTGTGAGGATGGCACAAGACTGGGTGGTGTTCGTTCTGTTATACTTAAGGTTGCTACTGAGTTGGAACCAACTCAACAGCACATAACATTTTTGTACTAGTAAAACAATACAAACGAGTTTCTGCAACAGACATCATACACCTAAGACTAAAATACTATCTAGTCTTTACAGAAAAGATTGGTTGATTCCTGTTCTAGTTTTGGTACTGTAACAAAATAGCTTCCTCAAGTAACACTTGGGGACTTTAATGTTAATTTTGAGAGAGACAATGCACTGAAAGATATTATTTAGTATAAAGACACTTAGTATACATGGCCCCACGGAAATTAAAATGCCAGTAGCACTCCCAATCCTGTGTTACCGAAAATTCCTCACATTTTTCTGAATACCCTGGGGGAATTTAGTTGAGAACCACTGAAAAAATATACTAGCTTAAAATAAGAAAGGTGCAAATATAGTCCATTTAAATTCTCAACACAAGATATGCAATGAAGTTTCTTTTTTAAAGAAAAATAAATAAAATTAAGTTAATCCTCTTTGACACTTAACCTGAAAATACACCACCTTCTTAGTAAAATTAGGCTTCATAATTTGATTATTGTATCAAGTCATCATGAAGTCTTATTAAATTTAAAAAGTAAAACAATGAACATAAGGCAATCTTACCGATTTGTTCCATCCACATTTGCTTTATGAATGAAATTAAGTTTTGCATCTGCCCAATAAAGCTTCTGTTCCTCATAATCTACAGTCAGTCCATTGGGCCAGTAAATGTTAGTGTTTATTATAACGAAGCGAGTTGAACCATCCATTCCAGCGCGCTCTATCTTTGGCACTTCACCCCAGTCTGTCCAGTACATGAACCTAAAGCGGGGAGGAAAAAAAGATGATGATGTAAGCAGGTAACAGGCAAATCCTTGCAATTATCACCATTAAATCAAGGAGGCGCTCTATTAAGAACACTAAAATTGAAACCCAAGATGTGTTATGTTGTTATATCATAATATTAATATGTGCCTCTTTGCAACCAGCAAGCACTTCATCTAATAACTAATTTAGATGAAAATCCTCAGATGCAAAAACCACCGGATCAAAGTTGATTGGGTAACAAGCTAATTAAACTGCCTCAATGTACTTCCCCATAGATTATTTATTAATGACAAAGAATAAAACTATCATTTTAGAGACATTACACCTGGGGGGGCACCAGTTTAAATCATGTCAAAGTTACCATCAAGAAGTAAATTAATTGGTACCATGTACAAGGGGGCTGTAAAAAGTTCATGGAAGAATTCCATTATCTTTTTCATTCCATGTTCCCCTGTATTTTTTTTTTTAAACATTTTATTAGGGGCTCATACAACTGTTCTCGCAATCCATACATACATCAATTGTGTAAAGTGCATTTGTACATCATTCTCAAAACATTTTCTCTCCACTTAAACTCCCGACATTCAGTCCTCATTTTTCCCCTCCCTCCCCGCTCCCCCCTCCCTCATGAGCCCTTGATAGTTTATAAATTGGTATTTTGTCATATCTTCCCCTGTACTTTTTGAAGCCCCTTTATACTCTTATTTCTTACTGTGAGACACTGAAAGGAGCACAGCATCTCTTATGTTATATGTACCTACTCTTGAGCATGGTAAATAAAATAAAGTGATTATAAAATTAATTATTTTAAAATAACCATAAAAATTATCTTTCTCCTTAAGGTAGGTACAAATAAGTACGAGTTCAGTATTTTAAAAGCCTTAAACAAAACTTCATTACTAAAATAGTAATAGGCAATTCTGTGTTCTCACCATGCTAATTAGTATGTCTACTTGCTTCCCAGTTTTTAAGTACCTCTGAAAATAAAAATTGGCACTTACTACTCTATTTTTCAAATCTATGAATCTGCAAAAAAAAAGTCTGAAAACTTACTCAGAGACCAACACACCCCAAAACTAACCCACACCCACCCCCCACCCACCAAAAGGAGATTGGCACCAAAATTCACTGATAATTCAAATTATTGATACAATTTCTTTCTGAGACTACTAAGAAAAGTTCCAGTCTCCCGATAATGGTATTAATATTAGGGTTCCCAGAACAATCTACAACCAAGGGGCAAGAATGAATAAGTTACTCCCAATATCATCTGATAGGCGTCTTGAAGGCGTAATGGGTTGCTAACTAAAAGATTGGCAGTTCAAAACCACCAGCAGCTCTTCTGGAGAAAGACGAGGCTTTCTATTCCTATAGAGAGTTACAGCCTCAGAGACCCACAGGGACAGTTCTGCCTGTCCTATAAAGTCATTATGTATTACAGTCAACTCAATGGTAGTGATAATTTCATCTGAGGATCAAACAACTTAAGAAAAGTTACTTTTTAAAGGGAAGAAAAAGAACTGTAATTTCAAAAACATATATTTAGTTAACTGAAAATGAAAATATATTCCCTAGTCAGGAAAGGATAATTGCTATAAATAATGTAAATAATTGGTACAAAATCAAAATAAGTGGATGAGATACTAATTGTCTGTAAGTTCCATATAAATAATATTTAAAATGCTTAACAGTATGTTGGAGTTGTTATATGCTATCAAGTTGATTGCCACTAACAGCAATCTACCCACTAGAGGTGGCCAGCAAGTATGAAAGAAAACTTTTTTGAACAATATCATCTGAAAATCTCAATTCCACAGGGAGGAAAAATCGTAGTTAAGTAAAACAACAAGTGGATATAGCCATGTTTATCATGTTATTCTTCATGTCTTATTGTAAGCATAAAATAGTTTTACAATACTTTTCTAAAGCAGACAAAAAATGAAGCAATATAAAAAGTACACACTAAAAATTCTAAAATATTACTGAAAGAAATTAAAGACCTAAATAAATGGAAGGATATTCTGCATTCTATATTTTTAATATCTTAGCCAATGAACTCAATGCAATTCCTATAAAAATTCCAATCACTTTCTGTACAGAAACAGAACGCCAAATCCTCAAATTTATATGGAATTGAACTCACCCTGTGGGTCAACTTTCATCCAAAGCATAAACAGATATCTGTATACGGTAAATACCACCAGCTAAGTACATACTCCTTAGAACAATCAACTCTATGAAACTATAAAGACAACCTGTATCCAGGAAGAAAGCTAAGAAGGCAGCAAAGGATAGGAAAGAAAGACAAATAGAAATAGCAAGCACAAGGAAGTGGAAAAAGGGCTATTAGACTGTAGTGATTAAAATCAATGTCATCAAACAAAATGTGTGTGAATTGCTGAATGAGAAACCAATTTTTTCTGTAAACTCTTACCCAAATCATAATTAAAAGGTTGTGTTTTTTGTTTTGTTTTTTTTAAGTTTCTTGGGATGGACTGATGGCAACTAGAATTAACTATATAAGAACAATGGGGGATTTTTTCTTGAAAATGTGGTAAAGGGGAAAGAGAAAGTCATATATATTTAACAATAATGAAATAAAATGACAATGCAAAATACAACCATCACTCTATCAAAAGACATGTATCTGTTGTATCAAAACTCTCCCTCTTCAATGGGTCTTGGGGCTCAAAACCATCAAAGTCAACTAGCACAACAATGCACAAAGACAATATGCCATATATCGTACTTTGGTGAGCAGCAGCTGGGATCTTAGAAGCTTAAGAGCAGCCATCTAAGGTGCCACTATCTGTTTCTTCTTGTCCAGAAGAAAGAAGCATGATGAAAAAATTAAAAGACACGTGGAACAACGGATAGATACATGAACCATGCAAACATGATTTCACAATCTTGAAACCAGAAGAACTAGATGGTGCCTGGCTACCACTACTAGGTCTGAACGATATCATAATAGAAGATGCTGCATACAGTGGGAGGAAAATGTGGAACAAACTTTCATAAACACGACCAGGCCTACTGGTTGAATAGAGACTGGTGGAATGCCGAAGACTATGGCTCTCAGTCATCCTTCAGGTCTGGAAGGGAATCCACCCCATGGCTCAATTTTTGGTCAAACAATAATAGACAGGCTTACAAAAGGAACAAAAAACAGTAGTAATCAATCATTTGAGATCAAAAGGGTGGTATTTACCATGAGAAAAGTTCAGAAAGAAAAGGAAGAACATGAAAAAATAGAAAGTAGGTAAGTGACATTACTTTGAAGGAAGTTTAATCAATGAGATAAAACAAAATGTGTATGAATTGCTGAATGTAAAACTAATGATCTGCTTTGTAAACCTGTACCAAATCACAATAAAAGGAATTTTTTTTAGATCTTTAAATAGAAAAATTTCCCTCATTTCTAAAGTCAGCAATAATAATATGAAGGAGGCTTCAGTAAGTTCATGGGAAAAAAAACCCTGTTATCTTTTTATTCCGTTTTTCCATACATATTTTGAATCCGTCTCATACATAACTGTGGAGGTAGGATCCTCTCAGAGTCTGTGAGAGCTGATAAGTCCTGCAATAGTTTTTCAAACAAATGCTGAAAATATTAACTGTAACGCACTTTTCTACCACTCCTATCTTAATGCTATAAGGCAGCTCTCATTTGATGGCAGAAGTGATGTACCAGAAGGATGAATAATACTGTTCATAAAATGACAATGCTATCTCTAAGGTGAACCAGAAACATATATAAACCATAGGTGCATGATGGATTTGGGGCTTGCACTTAATTCTAGCCCACTCTGGAACAATTAGTCCTTCTGACATGGCCCTGTTTGGCACTCACCCTCATGAAGAGATCACTGCAGACACAGGAGCTATAGTGGGTGGTGAAAGAAATGAGATGGTGCCCAGTTATCAGAAAGACTAGTGTCAGGGGTCTTAAAGGTTTGTTTTCAAATAAGCAGCCATTTAAGTGAGGTGTCAACTAAGTCCACATGGAAGCAGCACATCAGCTTGTGTGAACCAAGGATTGTAAATAATATAATCCAAATCTAGAGGGAATGGCATCAGAGCTTAAACTGTAAACATCTAATGGTTTGTGGAAAGCTCTGGATGATAGTGGAAGCCAAAAATCCACTCACAGATCAAGCCTCTGGTGAATTCCCTCCAATCATAGTTGAAAGATGTGAATAGCCCTGTTTCACACAGAGACCACTGTAAAGTTGATTATAGCACACATAGCTAAATCAAAATGTAATAACATTTTATCTCCCTTATGATTTTGACACATTTTAAAGCTGTTAAAGTTTTAAAAAAATTTTAAGGGGTAGTAAACATAGATTCAAGCCTCTGGTAAAAATGTCCTCTGCCCGTGGAACAGGGATGAGAATATAGAGTGCATTGGGTGCAGAGGCAGTGAGGTTAAAATGTAGCATCCTATCATTTGATCTCCCTTATAATCCACTTAAATTTGTTCTAGTTTTAAATATTTTTCTGTTTTCTTTTCCACTAAAGTTTTTAACCTGCTTTACTTTGTTATTCTCATTAGCTTTTTTGGTTTGTTTTTATAATACTTTCTTGTATTTGAAATCCACGATAGGTAAATCTATAGAGAAAGTAACTAGATTAATGGTTCCTTGGAGATATAGCAGGGGAAGTGTTTGGGGGAAAGGGGAAGCAAGTGAAAATGAGTGCAAGAATAAAGAAAGTGTTCCAAAACTCATTTATACAACTCTTCTAGATGTGACTGAACTATTTAACTAGATGATATGTGAATTTTATGCCAATAAACTATTGGGGGGGAGGGTTACAGCAAAAAAAAAACCAACAACAACCCTATGGAGTACTACTCTGCTTCACATGGATTTCACCATGAATTGGAATTGAATAAATTAATCCAAGAGCTGAGACTTACTGTTTTCAGAAGGTAATGAACTACTAAATTCATTTAAAATGTATACTATACTTACATTAAGCTAAATATG